ATGTGTAAGAGGGATTAGATAAGGTGGTTAGGGAAGGTGCAAACTATGTGAGAGGAGTTGGATTTCCAGTAGAGCTAAGTGAAGTATTAGCAATACTTGAATGAGTAGGTTTAAAGGGAGGATTACTGGAATTACTCACTACAGCGATATGCACTAAACTTGCTAGAAAATCAATAGAATTGAATTTCTCCAGTCTTAACTCATATTTCTGTAGAAGATATTGTGCCTCTTGAATGCTTACAGAATCAAACCTAGACTCAAGTCTAGAGGTTAAATTGACTACAGTAGCATCAAATTCAGGACCTAACCCATCGAGTACATATTGAAGAACATCTTCATCAAAAACAACTTGTCCACTAGAGGCCAAACTTTCAGCTATCCCTTTCGTTTTCTTGATGTAGTCACTAACACTGAGGTTGCCTTTTTGAGTATTTTGAAGTAAGTTTTTTAGGTGTAATGCCCTAGCTTTAGAATCTGACAAGAATTCCTTTTCAAGTGTGAACCAAACATCAGTAGAGAGTTGGCACTTAGATATACAACTAAACACGCACTCGGATATTGATGCAAGTAACCAGGTAACAAGAAATTTATCAATACGTTTCCAAGCAACATATTCAGGATTGCTTTTTTCTTTAGCTAGGGTTTCTTTAGAGCTAATTATTCCTGATTCAGTTAAACTATCAATTGGTGAAGCAAGTAAAGGCTCAGGACAAAGAATTAAACCTATCAAATGTTCTTCCAATCAATGAGCTTCGACTGTGAACAGAACTTGAGAACACCAGAACCAATAGTTATCACGTAATTGTCTCTTGTTAGCTTCGGATTTATAGCTTGAAGACTTGAAGGAACAATGGACAAATGAAGCTCAGATAGACTATGAAGTTTATTCACGTTCTTTGCAGAAATGTCAAAACCAAAATTTTGAGCCATCAACGCGAGTCAACGGCTCTAGTACCATGTGAAGATTTAAGAGAGCAAAAATGAAATTGACAACTGATTTTGTATTAACAATGTTAAGAATGAATACAACCAAGATCTCTCTTATATATAGGAGAGAGAATCAGTTAAGAATCAATAAAGTAGCTCGTGTGTGAGCTTAAACAGAGTACAATTGATTTTTGTCAAATGAACTACTCAAAACAACACGATCTTTCTTTGACAAATAGTTGTGTGGTCATTTGTGTTTTCAGAATTGCAGTTTTCACCCTTTGTATGGTCAACAGCTACATCTTTAGCCCTAGAAAATGAATTTAGTTCATAATTATAGTAATAAAAACAACCATTGTATTAACAAACATGAGAACAAGAAAGAAAAATATAAAAACTTCTCTAATTTGCGAACCAAAATTCTTAGAATTCTGATCTCCAAAGAGTAGCCACCCTCTCTCCTTCTTAATCTCTCTAAAAACAAAATAAAGACCCTTATTTATAGTGCTACGGTTTGGAGGTTAATTAGGAAAGAATTAAATTCCTTAAACCATTCAGATTCGGACTAGGAAAATAAAATAACCCAAATAGGCCCGCAATCCATCGCTATGGCAATAGTTCTTTCTGCCCCACAAGTTTGGAATATTCAGAATTTGGCAAAGTCATCAACACTAACTTTGTAGCCCTCTAAATAAGCTTTCCAATGCCACAAGAATCATCCAATTCCAATTTCTACGGGTCAAGTTATGATCAAAACATTGAAACGTGCTCATCTTGAAGAATTTTCAGGTTTCAAGTCTCATCTTCAACGCATCACAACGTTCTCGTTTCAACTTTGATTCTTGCACCGTTTGCTCCTACTGGTCACAAATTCCATCGACATCATCCTTCTTCATTCAAATATCGTTTATAACTTGAAAATACTCAAAATATACCCTGTGATCTCATAAAAGACATTTATGAAATAATTAACACAAATTTCACAATTTAAACACATTTTCCCACAAATAATCTTATTGAATCACCAACAAAACATGTATTTTCAAGCTCTTATCAACACATGATTCCATTATATGCATATATAAAATGTTTTGTAACCCTTGTATTACTCTTGCAAAACTAGTCAAACTTATTGTAAATCTCTAAGGAAAAAAGACAATTATCAAGAATCAGAATCACCACCCTTACAAGAACAAGACCTCCCTAACAGCACTATAGCAGAATGGATTGGATTGATAAGCACCCATCATTCATCAAAAGCAAGTATCAGCAGGCGGAAGTTGGCCCATTTCAGCCCAATCAAGAAAGAGAAAAATGAAATAAAATAAATAAAATCAAAGAAAAGAAAAGAGGAAGAAAGAATCAATTTGCAATTGATTTGGGTGATTTGTAATAAAAATGAAGAATCAAATTCTTGAGGCCATGAAGAGGACAATACCACAGTTGAAACCAGGAAAATCAAATATTCATCTTCTTTCAAATAACCTTGTTCAATTTTTTTTTTTTTTTTTTTTTTTTTTTTGGTAAACCGACAAGACTCCTTAAGTAAACTAACTCCAATGGCTAAAAGGTTTGTCATCCTACCACAAAGGAAGGTTTAGGGTTAGTTATTTATTAATCCCTCTGTTAGTCCCACTCCCACATAACTTAACTAGAAAATGAAATTATTAGATACTAGATCAATGCATAATTGAGCTATTTTTATTGGAAAAACGGAGAGAATTTAAGCAGCTCCAATTTTTATGATGTAAGAGAGATCTGTTTGTGCCAATGATTAACACACTGATTATCATAATAATCATTGTCATGATAACGATTACATTTAATAAATCAAAGGCTCCATTGGCTCAGAAATAAAGAAGATGAAACCAAAAGTGCTTACCCAATAAGCCAACATTATCAACATCTTTTAAGTCGACCCCAATAACCATTTTTTTGTTGAGTGCCTTTCCACACACTCTGAACTCTGAAAAATTCATGTTTTTTAAGTTTGGCAATTGGGAAAATGTCATCACACCTAACCCCAATACCCCATAATCAGATTTCATGCGCTTACATCTATCCAGTTGAAAAAAAAAAAATAATAATAATAAAGCACTTTGGCATTATCCATAATGCTTCCTAAACATCACATTTCACCTTAAAAGCATCTTCTCCTGCCACCAAAAAAGATTCAGTATTGCTTTTTCTCCTTGGTTGGAATAATTTTAGTATCTTATTGTTCCCATTTACATGCTTCTAGGAGTGTTTTCTCTAATATCAAAACCGAATCAATCAAGTGCTTCCTACAAAAACACGTCAAAACGCATCTTAGTGTTGATACATACAACCTATCTTGTTTCACATTCAGGTTCATTGGTTTATCACTAATACAGAATAAACAGCATTTGGAGAATAATTTGATTTAAACAGATTGTAAGAACAGGATAAGAGAGACCAAACATGTTTCTAGATTGATCGCGACCATTCATTTTTCTCATAATGTAGTGACCTTACGTTTCAATTCCCAAAAAAATGTGAACACATCACCAGTTGCAATCTTCAAGCATCTGCACTCAAGTTTGATTGATTGCTGCAAAACATCAACAACAAATTGCACCTGCCAGTAATTTCTAGCTGGGGAATATATTCTAAACAAAGAGAATATTGTTCTCAAAACAGCCATCAAATATTCATCTGTACTGCAATCTTACCAGTTCCTCTGATTGAATGGTCCAGGTTGACAAGCAACTGATCCAACCATTTGCCAATGTCCGACCTCTACAATTTTCTATGGTGGGACAATGACAGTCAGAGTTGGAAAGGTAGTAGATATTTCCATGGTTTCCTCAGTAAATTAAGGGGTTGTGGCATTGTATCAGAAGCAACAATCATATTGCGCAGTTACTTTAGTTAATATGATAATATTCCCATTAGTGAAGAACATTCAAGCAACAGAACCAAATGAGACATATAATAAGGCATTAGAAACCCCAATGTTGCGTTGAGGATATAGAATTTTAAAGGATTGTTGAAGCAAAATAGAATAATTATGGAAGACAGCAAAAAAGGAAGCTGAGATCACCATCATATCAAATGGTCTTCCTGATCACATAAGAAAAATAAAAGAAAAAAATTAAAAGTTTCATGGGAAAAGGAACTCCACTTTTAGATATGGTATATTTTGACCGGCAAAAACCCCTGTAAAATCTTTCGCTTCTGATTTTCTGCTTTGAAAATATTTTTGTATTAAAAGCAGACCACACAAATATTTTCAGTCAGAATAGTTTGATTCTGAGCAAAATTTTGCTCTCGTCGTAAGAACCATTGTAATGGAGAATTAGAATAATAGCTGGCAACATTATAGTAAGAAGATAATCGGATGTCTATCATTTCGGTAAAACATTTTGCTCAGCTTTTAACTGCTTGCCCATGGAGACTGATCTGGCCTGGCCCCTCCAGTCCATGAGGTGATGACAGTCATTTGATAAAATATCAAATCAGAGGAACAGATTAATTGTGAACTATGATCTTGAGAAATCCTAAAATTAAAAACTATGATTCTTTTTTCACATGTTCTTTTTGAAGAAATTCTATTTTGAAAAACTACGTGTGGATTCTCAAACATAAACTGATGGTAAACTAACTATTCACTGTTCTGATAAGAGTTCAAGATCATTCATATATGTTGTACTTAATTTCATTATCATCATCAACAACAACAAACCACATGCATGGTAAATATGATTTCTTATCTAAAGCAAGCGTTAAGAATCTGTTTGTTTGCATAGGATTAAATAAAAAAATTTCAATGAGAACGTCACTTCTTTTAACAGTGTCCCTTACTGCACAATTAGTAGAAATGTAATTTTTGTGGCAAAACAAAAAGAATAAGATATTAGTGCTATATATTGCATCAATTTTCAGACAAATAAAACCTAAAGAAATTTTTTCAAGTGGGTAGTGGACGTAATGTGACAGCTTCACTCATGATAATTCAAAATAGCAAAACGATAGCTTTATTATTTTTCTCTAATTTATTTGCTAAAACCTACTAAAGCTTTAGATATGAATGCTTTTGCATTAAACAATTTGTAACAAAGCTCCATGCTATAGCAAACTGATTTCCTCCACAAGTTTATAAAGATGTAGACAACACTTCTGCTTCTTTCAATTTTCTATTATTCTCTTTTTACCCATCTTCCCGTTATTTATATCCCCTAAAGCGTGTTAAACAGTCCATGCAACATTCTTATAAAGTCATTTAGTAACTCTTCTTGTTGGGACCATCTCTCCATCTTAGGACCATCTTTACAGGGCAAAAACATGGGAGATAGATTGCGCCTGGCAGTAGGAGTCATGGGTACCTTTCTTCTTTGTTTATTGTTTTAGCTTCCTACCAATATGTCACCATAGATAGTAAAACCTTCACCTAATACACTAATAATATTTTTCTTGCAGGCAATGCAGCTTCTTTGTTACTTTATGCTGCACCCATGTAATGTTGACATAATATTCTACTACATGTTATTTTTTTCTTAGAATTAAGTTATAATTCATAGAGGTTTGAAGCAGCTAACTTGGAAACTCAAACCTATTATTTTTATATTTTGCCAGATTAACATTTTCAAGGGTGATAAGGAAGAAAGGCACGGAGGGATTTTCATGCATTCCTTACATCATTGCACTGCTAAACTGTCTGCTTTATACTTGGTATGGACTACCTATTGTAAGCTACAGGTGGGAGAATTTCCCTGTGGTCACTATCAACGGTTTAGGGATCCTTCTCGAGTTTTCCTTCATTCTGATATATATTTGGTTTGCTTCAGGAAGAGACAAGGCAAGTAATTTAATTTAATGTCTATTTGGCATGATATAGAATCATTTGCATGCATGAAAGGAAGTTATTATTCAAGTCCACAGAAACTGGTGCATGCTGAAAATGTACAATTTTGTTTCCATGCATGCCATTTTTGTATCATTTGCAGAAATGTTATTTATATTCAGTGGAAGTGAGGAAAAACATGAGACAGTGTGTATTCTTGCCTGCATGCATTTTCATACACATAGTTTGGGAAAGAGTATCATAAATTAAATATAATGAATCTACAGATGAAGGTTGCTGCTACGTTGATACCTGTTATCCTAGTGTTCAGCATCACTGCAATTATATCAGGCTTTCTATTCCATGACCACCATCATCGCAAGGTGTTTGTGGGCAGTGTTGCACTGGTGGCCTCTGTGGCAATGTATGGTTCTCCACTGGTGGTTGTGGTGAGTTACCTTTTCTCATTATTGGTTCATGGTAGTATTCTTCAAAGTCACCTAAAAAGAAGCCCAAAAAAAGGAAAAAAATTGTAAATTAACATTCACGGTGTTGTTGATGCATAGACAAAATAAATATTTACACGCCCCGTCACCATCTGCATTTTGTATCTCCTCTTGACTTTTTTACTCATATAATTAATATTTGGTGTTGCAGAAGCAAGTTATACAAACAAAGAGCATAGAATTCATGCCTTTCTATTTGTCTTTTTTCTCATTCATTGCTAGCTCACTTTGGATGGCCTATGGACTGCTGAGCCACGATCTATTTCTTGCGGTTTGTATAGCTATCAAAACCCTCTTTGTGAGGCAAAACTACATGCTTAAACAATTTATGTTGCTTAGAGTTTCACATTTGAATTCCTTAATTCTTGCAGTCCCCTAATCTGGTCGGTAGCCCCTTAGGCATCCTGCAACTTGTTCTTTATTGCAAGTACAGGAAAAGGGGAATTATAGAAGAACCAAATAAATGGGATTTAGAACAAAATGAAGAGAAATCCAAACAGTTGCAGCTTGTGATCAACAATGATGCTAATGGCAAGAGTTGAAGAATTCAATTAAAAGATCTGAGAAGGTTCCTCCCGGTGTCTTTATGGATATTGAGAAATGATTAATTATTCCTAATGAAGTCAATGTTCTATATAGAGGTCTGACTTTGCATTTGTGCAAGCATTCTCTGTATCCATAAGAATGTGCATGTGAAAACTGAATTTATTCTTGAGTCGATGTTTGTGCATCAACAGAGTTTTAAGATAATTGCTTCTTTGTGACAGGACTGACTTCAATTCTTGGGGCAACAAATTTCCAGTAAGAGGACAGTTACAGCTAATGTTGTTAACATGGCTCTTTCGTTCAAGAAATTCTGCTAATATTTAAAGCATGGTAACTAAGCAATGCCATAAAATAATAAAAAGTTACTTGTAATAGCAGGTCTCACTTCCATGTGATGTGCTATCTAAAAACAGCATGAACATAGGATAGTATACTTCAAACTTGATTTTCCATTCTCTCAAAATGAAAAAGAAAATGATCCACTTCCCTTAAATCGAAGCCAAAGTTGGAGCAATAACATTTAACTAAATTGTTAAAAAACTGGAGCACCAAATGCAAAATGATAGACTGAGTTAGCTATTGATATGCTGTGATAAATAAATTATAGCAATTTAATATTCTCAACACAGAACATAATAACTATCAGTTCTCAAGGACGCTTCCAAATGTAATGTTATTTACCAGCTCACGTCTTTTTACAACAAGTTGCGAGATAACAGCATGAAATTGTCCACAATTAATCACCCGTCACCATCCATTATGCGCAACAACCACCTATGTCAAGTTTTCAACAAAATCACCAAAAGGAAGTGTCATTTTCATTTAATCAAATTAAATGTCTGTACAGTATAGAAATGTGCTGTATCAGAATAGGCACCAGCACAACAAAAAGCTTAAAAAGACAGATACTCTTACCTTTTCAAATAATAGTCATATTTATGGTATCTTTTTCCCAGAACAACATTTAATCTGCATCATTATCATTTCTAAATAGAGAAAAACTACTGAAAGTGTTGAAACCACTTTGGTCTATACAGGAATTTTGTAAGAACTGTGCTCCGAACCTACAAAGTTTTTGAAAAATGCAAGAAAATTGTCATTATTCAATATGCCTGATGAATCAGAACAACACAAAGAAAAGAAAAGGATGGTAAAATGTTGAAATGAAGTGTTATGTACCAAAGCATAAAGTCACTCAGTTTCAAGAAACTGTGGTGTTTTGATGTAGAAGACCAAACGCGCCATCCATCAAGTGCATCTTAAATTACGAAAGAGTAAGAAGAGACAACAGTGCCACATAAAACGTAAGGATTATAGAACAAGAGGTCACAAAAAATATATAAAGGAAGATGGATATCAATCATTTGCTTTAGAAAAAATAGGAACCACATAAATAATATTGGCACCAAAATTTCAACTTTGGATGATACAGCTACAAAAAATTTGGTCAATGGTAGGTTATAATAGCTAGACTCTGTATTGACATCGAATATCAATCATATTGGACAATGGAATTAAGATTATGGACAGTTGAGTTAAGATTTGTTGTTAGATGCTCCAAAGTAGCATATATCAAATCACAATTTGGGTCATTTCTGTCTTCAACAGAGAACACGTAAACTCTGTTGCTCAGCTCAATCCAACTACAAGCGGGATCCTTTTTCACTTCCAAACTTGTCAATCTTTTTCTCATGAGCATCTTTTCTCCCCACTTCCCCGATATTGCATATATGTTGGACATAATAACATAAGCAGATATTGGCTTGGGATCCAAACTAAAAATGTTCTCAGCCACCCTCTCACCCACTTCCAGGTTCATCCAGAACCAACAAGCACTAAGCAAAGCTCCCCAGACAACCCAATCTGCTTCAATTGGCATCTCTTTGATGAACTTCTCAGCTTCTTGTAGATGGCCTGACCTACCAAGAAGATCGACCATACATGCATAATGTTCTAATGTAGGGATCACTCTGTGACATCTTTCCATTGAGTGGAAAACTTTCATCCCTTCATTGACTAAACCAGCACGACCACAAGCAGACAGAACCCCAACAAAAGTAGCAGCATTTGGTACTACTTCTTGCTCTAGCATGCACAAAAAGAGTAAGACTGCCTCGGAGCCATGGCCATGATGTGCATATCCATTAATAAGAGCTGTCCATGCTGCCACATTGGGTGCAGAGATGCTGCTAAATGATGCTCGAGCTTCCGTGAGGCTCCCACATTTGGAATACATGTCAATGAGGGATGTTCCCACATAAACATTGGAGTCAAATGGTGTTTTAACCAAGTGTGCATGGAGTAATTTTCCTTGCTGCAGAGATCCAAGGCATGAGCATGCATGAAACAAGACAGAGAATGTCGATCTAGTACGGTCTATTCCTAATCTGCACAATGTCACATATAGTTGCAAAGCTTCTTCATGCAGATCATTTTGAATATAACCAGACATCATAGAATTCCAAGTCACTGGATTTCTTTCCCCCTTAGTTTCTTCAAAAAGTTCCACAGCTTTCTTAATTTCATCATTCCTTGAATACACACTAATCATAGTATTCGTAGATATTATAGTTCTGTGAGGCATTTTCCCAAACAATCTTTCTGAATCCAAAACTCGACCCATGGCCGCATAACCTTTTATCATCAAATTATATGAAACAGAATTAGCTTCTGTCAGTCTGTTAAATATCAGTTCTGCTTCGTCAATCCTACCCATCAATATAAGCCCATTAATAAGTGAATTTGAAGAGCTCAAACATGGATTTACTATTCTATCATAAACTCGCTTAGCATCATTAGCAGCTTCACAAACACAATAAAATTCAATCAGGGCACATCCAATCGAGTGATCAAATTCAAAACCATACTTTATCAAAGTCCCATGAACAACCCTGCCTTCACGCAAAACACCTAGTCTGCCACAAGCCCTTATAGCAGTATGAAAAGTATATTCATTAGGCATCGCCTCACCACTCTCTCTCATCCACGAAAACAACTCCAAAGCCTTCTCACAACCATCTTCACTCTTCGCATAACCCGAAATCAGCTTAGTCCACGCCACAACACCTCTTCTTTTCATATTCATAAATACATCCAGAGCCTCACTCATCAAGTTGCATTGCACATAACCCACAAGCATCAAAGTCCACAACAACTCACTATCATCGCGCAACTCGAGAAAAACCCGCTTAGCTTCCTCTATTTCCAAGCACTTTGCATAAAAATACAACAAAGAACTACCTACGAACTCAAACTTCTCATACCCACATTTCAAAACAAGACAATGAATCTGTTTCCCATTAATCAAAGACTTCAATTGCGCGCACACACTTAAAGTAGTAGAAAAAGTTGTTTCATTGAGCTTGAAATTGCTACGATGCATTGTTGAAACTAAACCAAGAGATTCGTTAAAATTTTCCCACTTTGAGTAACCAGAAATCATGGTATTCCATGACACGACTGTTCGAGTCGACATTTGATCGAACAGATTACGAGCAATATCTAACTGGCCAACTTTCGCACGTTGAGTTATGGCAATGTTTGCGGAGACTATGTGGGTGTTTTGCATTTGCTGTGTTTGATCTTTCGTAGAGTACAGTTTCGAGGTTTTCCAACGTTTGTGCTTCCATTTTCCCGGGAAACACGATTTCGACAACATTTTGAATCGAAGAAAGAAAATTAATTACAGGTAAGCTCCTCAGTGTGGAAAGGTGTTTATATGCTGTAACTGTCTACAAATTACAGAAAGAGTAAGGATATGGTTTTTTAAACTGGAACATCATGCTTTGAACAAGCTTATTGCTGGCCCTGTTTTGAAGAAAATTTAGCTGCCCCGCCATTCAAAGTTTCGATTTAAGAAAATGGCTTTGAAAATTTTTCCATTTTTTTTTTAATTTAGATAAGATAATGTCCCATAATTAGGATTAATTAAACATGTAAAATAGGTTAAAATAAAAAGATTAAAATATATGTAGGCCAAATATAAATAATAAAAGTTTTTAAAATTTAAAATTTCTCAAAACAAGTCCCACCTATTCACCTCGCTTAATAGAAATTCATTAGGGTAAAAAGCGATTTCTTGAACTAAAGGGAGACTGAGATTTTTTCCGATCGAACCTGCAAATTTGCACCCTAAAATCAATTTCTTGAACCCTAAACCGAATATAGTTGCGATTTTCGGCGATATAGTAGCGATTTCTGATCGATTTCCTTAACCCTAAATGGAATCTGTGTGATTTCCGACAATACAGTCCACATTTTTTATCGAAACTGCAAACTTTGACACCAAATTCAATCCAAAACCATGGCTGACACTCACAATGAGGAGGAAAACCCAACGCCACTTCGAATCCTAGATTCCGGTGGCGCAAGCAGTTCAATGGCTGCTCCGGTGGATCATCCAATCAGTGAAAGTGGTCCACACACAGAGGAGACATCGGCGACACAAGACAGAGGGAAGAATCGGCAAACGGTTCTGAAGACGAGGAGTTCGGTGATAATTCAGGCCAAGAGGAGTCGTCCAAGGATTCAGGCGACGAGGAGGAGGCCCACGAAGAAAGGGTACGTTGTTTCGGGAATATTGCTTGTATTGTCGCTTAAGCAATCATTTGTATCGCTTAAGCGATTAATCTGTTTTACTCATGATTGCTTAAACGATAGATTCAATTTACTCTTAGTCGCTTAAGCGATTTCAGATCGCTTTGCTTAAGCGATCTTGTCGAGGTAGAATCACAGATATAAGATTGCTTAAGCGATCTTTTGTATCGCTTAAGAGATTCTTTCAGTTTACTCTTGGTCGCTTAAGCAATCTTACACGAGACAGAGTCAAGATTTCTTAAGCGATCCGAAATCGCTTAAGCGACTACAGTGGTAATTTTTTGTTGCTAATATTTTGTTTATTAGTTGTTTTGGTTTATTTTTGTTGCTGACATTTTGTTTATATCGATCGTGCAGATTGTGCGGACCGTAAACTGTAGAGACTACGAGTTGGAGCTTATAAGTGATAAGGTACCTTACTTCCCTGCAAGGGTGACGATGAGGTCGAGTTGGGATGTTTTTGATAGAATAAGGGACATTTTAGATGGAATGAGGCATGGTGCAAGAGATTTTCGTCGCACTTGCTTCGGTCAGTTTTTAAGAATCGGAACAAATTGGAAAAAGGCATTTTAGGGGTAGGGAGTGCATTACATGTTGCTACACTCAATAAAATGCAATAAAAAAAAATGTGGTTCATGGTGGACTAAAAGCCACTATGGTTTGGGATGATGGAGTATGCCTTGGTGACAGGCTTAGGATGTGGTGAAGTGCCAGATATGGTAGAGGCAGACGCAATAAGGACAAGTCCGGGACCCATAAGTTTTGGAAGAAGGTTTTGCAGGGGGCAAAGTCTATTACAGGACACAGTTTAGAGAAAAGGCTAGAAATAGTTCGGTTTAATGATGGAGAGAAGATATAAGTGTGATTGCTATTGTTTTTACATTCAATCTTATTGGCTGGTGACTCAACAAAAGTTGTTGAGAAGGATTGGTTGTTGTTTGCAAGCGGCTTGGAGTTCTTTAATTCTTATTCGTGGGGATGGATATCATTTGAGCAAACCATCAACAGCCTGAAAAAACTAGACATGGCGTTAAAGCAAGCCCAATGGGTCGGGAAGGAAAAACCAAGCACGTACAATTTGTTTGGCTTCCCGTGGGCAATGCAGGTAAAATTAATAACTTTTTGTTATATTTTTTATAATATATGTGTTTGAATTATGATATGGACTGTTTTTTTACAATGTAGGCTTGGATGTACGAGGTCATCCCTGTCTTCGCTAAGGCCTGGAGGGGGAGGAGGAGCAACAATTTTGATGTGCAACAGCAATTTCCTATGATGTTGAGGTGGCATGTCGAGAGGTGTACCCATTGGGACTATGACCAAATAGACATTAAGATTGAAGCAGCTAGGGTAAGATTAAAGGATTAAGCTTTTGAATATGCAGTTGCTTTAAAATGTTGCTTCAATCTAATTGATTTTGTTTCTTATTGCAAGGAGTTGTCTGTCCCTTTCTCACCGCTACTGGGGATGAAGCGGAAGAGGACTATGTCACATCTTTCAAAGCACTGGAGGATGAAAGGGATAAACGGATAGACCGCTTGATGCGGGAGCTAAAAGAGGTCACGCATGTGACGGCAGTTGCAGGGCCACTGCTTGACAACGTGGTTGATGTCGAGGATGATGAAGCTCCAATCGGCAGGAGGCCCAAGGATGAGGAGGAGAAAAGGGAGGAAGAGGTTCGTATGCCTCAGCAAACCGGTACAACAAGTACCGCTTTACCGAGACATCGGCGTCGAGAGAATGAGGTTGTTGACCTCATAAACGACTTGTTTGAGAGTTTTACAACAGCCGTTTATACAAGGTTTGACAAGATGGAAGAGAGGAGAAAGTGGATAAGCTGGCAGAGAAAGTTGGTACAATGGAGGAAGAAGTTGGTACAATGGAGTAGGAAGTTGGTGGAGAATTAAAGGCGGTTGAAGTGCAAACTGGCTTGAAAAGAGAGAGCCGAAAGAGCAAGTTTGTGAAATCGCCTTACATGGTAGTGACACAGGTAAAGAAGAAGAAAATTAAGAAACAAATGGAGGAAGAACCAGAAATGGAGGAGGTTGGTGGAGGAAGTGGGGCGGTGATAATGGAGGAGGGCGAGGTGGGAGGCGAAGGAAGCGGGGATGTAAAAATGGAGGAAGGGGGAGGAAGTGGGCAAGCGAAATTGGACTCAAATGTCGATTTGTATAGGCCAATAGAGGAAAAGAAAAACTCTTCTATGTCTATTACAATGGATCATGAAGTAATGCCCATATAAAGTGTAAGACAGGGGATTATCCCCTGTAATGGTTTGAGAAGTTGTTGACGATGGGCACGTGGCTTGAGGACTCGGTGAGTTATTTTCTCTTAATTTTCCTTATTTTTGCCTTTGTTTTCTATACTTATCTTGTTGTTTTTATTTGATGCAGCACATCGATGAGATATTGGCACTGATGAGGCTACAACAGACTACTAATGGTGATCTATTGTATCCCGACTATGCCATCACCGATGTGGCGTTTGGCCAAACGCTTGTTTCGGCATATCGCACTTTAATTAAAAATATCGCTGCTATGGGTGCAGCAAAAGGACCGAAGTGAAAAAGATTGGCCCCACAACAGTTGGATTGCATCCCTGATGATTTTCATTTTGATGACAGGCTTATGCAGTATATACAGGGGGATCGGCCCAAATATGGCCACGGTTGGGCCTTTGTTAAAAGAGTGTACTGCATCATCCTCGTCAAACAAATGCACTGGATAGCAGTCGTCGCACATCTAGAGGAAGGGTTGCTGAAGATCCTTGACTGCAACCCAACTATTTGTCGAGACAAGCAGTTGAAGGTCAAGTTGGAGCCACTGTCCAGGTTGTTTCCGCGGCTATTGCGTGACAGTGGGATGTTTGGGCACTTGGGTGATCAAGTACTAACACGAAAGTGGCCAATTAAGCGCTCTACCGGCCCAATAAATAAGTCAAGGTAAATTTTGTATAAAACTAACTTACATAATACAATTGTTGTATAAGTTTTTTCTAATGCTAATGTCTTCTTCCTATTGTAGTGCTGAATGTGGGGCATATGCCCTGAAATTTATTGAGTTCGACATGACCAACACCCTGATGGATGGCTTGAATGGCGAAACAATGAGCTGATTCACTACTACCTCCAATTGCCCCCTCTGAACCTGCATAAATGACTATAGTGTTCTCCTCCTCACAATCTACTCCTTCTGCATAATCTGTATTTAAAGGAATATCTACATCTGTGAGAACATCTATGGGGTCCTCCTCCTCAACATTTTTATTCTGCCCCCCATCACCAACCTCTTCTACAGTGTCCTCCTCACCACCCAATTCACCGTCTACTCTTGATTTTTCAACTAACAAATCAATGGCCTCGTAGTTCAAATTAAAACCAGGCAAACCTCTGTCTACTTTCTCGTTATCCCCTTCCTTTGAACCAACTTCCAACGGTTTTTCTACAAAAGAAACCCTTAAAATTGGCCTCGAACCATTATCGGCCACATCAATCATTTATAACTTCACACTTTCATCCGACTTTAATATAGCAGGAGGTACCTTATAATGTTCAGGAACTTTGCTTAAAACATATTTCACAACTATATCACTACGCGAGCAACTCAAATCACCTCTTCTAATTATTTCATCAATCAACTCATCAAAACTAACATCTGTGCTCACAGCAATTGGTATAACTTCTTTGCTCTTCCCAATCCACTTTTATCTACTTTCTTCCTCCACCCACTCACCAAAATATTCAACACCCAAAACAACTTGTCCCATGTGTAATAATAGCCAACTACCTGTAATGCAAGAAAAAAAATATTCTTAAATGTTGTACTAAGGGTTCAAATATTTTAAAAAAAAAATCTGCACAGTCACTTATATGGTCTGGTGTATCGCTTAAGCGATCATGGTTATTTATACTAGATCGCTTAAGCGATACACTTGATCACTTAAGTGATCCAGTATAAATAACCATGATCGCTTAAGCGATCTTATGTCATTTACTGATCGTTTAAATGATATGCTCTGATACACCAGACTTTTAGCAGATCACTTAAGCAATCTTATGCCACATACCTGATCGCTTAAGCAATCTACCTGCTGCATTACTAGACTTACCAGATCGCTTAAGCGATCCATCATACCTAGAATATATTTTCAGTCATCTCTACCTACAATCGATCCATCATACCCAGAACACATACCCAAAATAAATTTTCAACATATTTCACTCCTTTCAACTTCCATTACATCAAACATAGCCCAACAACCTAAACAACTAAATCAAAATCATAACCCAAACTCAATCCATGCTAAATCAAAATCATAACCCAGATCTTTGTAAATCAAAATATGAAATCGAAAGGGAGATACACATACCTGGACGAAATGTCAGGGGCAGGAGAAGGATCTGTGTTGGAGAAGATGTTAATGGCGGAGGAATGTGGTAACGTGGCGGGAGGAAGAAGAAGAAGGTGTTTGGGTTTATTTGCAAGAATTTCAACTATTTGGAGAATATTTAATTTTTAAAAGATTACACAATTATTCATTAATCTTAATTAACCCCTAATCATATTTAATTAAGCTTAATAAAAAATAAGATTATTTAGTTAACATTTATAAACTATATAGCCTTTTAATTAAATTTTAACTTCAAATGTCTTTTTAATAAACTGTCCCTTTGATTCTTGGAGAGGACTGTGTGGTTAAATGGTGGCCCGATTATCATTGTTACCGTTAATGCTTTACCGCAACAGCCAATTCGCTACCATTAACTGCCGGTGTTTTGATGTTACCGTCACGTAACGGCACAGCATCGTTTCCGTTAATAAACTGGCCTTTTTGAGCGTGTTCGTGGAGAGTGGAAACTATGTGGGTGTTATGCGTTTGCTGTGTTTGGTGACGTGTCCAGTACAGTTCCGAGCTTTTCCACCGTTTATGCTTCCATTTTCTCGGGAAACACGATCATAGGTTCTTACTTCTTAGCAACATTTTTGGAATGAAGACAGAAGAATGCAACAAAACGCACCGTTTGATTTCTCAATACAAATCGAGTCCACTGTTCCATTGTTATTAACTGGGCCCATAGATTTAAACAGACCTATCTGATCCCATTTGATTTATTTAAAAGGTATAGATTAAAAAAAAAATTGAATCATTATTTAATTTCATTCACGCTCAATGAGAAACCCCGTTAAAATTATTAAACCCTTGAAATTATTATATATTCTTACAAAAGTTTCAAAATACATTGATAGTTGTCTATATGACCCTTTCTATACTCTAATCTCAATTCACACAAAATGTGAACACGTGGTCTCTTTCAATGTTCAAACTTATGCGTAAACTGGCCTCCATGCATGAAGACACGTATCCCTTCTATCTCTCTTCTTCACAATCACGCCACCACTTCTCTCCATCTCCATTTAACTTTCTTCAACTACGAATTACAAACACTAAACTCTAATCATAAACAACAATCTTGACGCCATATTCATCTGTATTCTTTGTTTTAGCCTGAGTATTCTACTGACAAAATGGTGAAGCTTGCATCGGCACGAGAGAGCCGAATTTACGGGCCCCGGTTATCGAGGAACCGGGCGGAATACACAAACGCTGGGCTGTATGTATTTGCTACGATTGTTCTATTGACTGGTTTTGCAGCCGAGTTTTCCTGGGAACCGAAGTCGGGTTTGGTGCTTTTGCTTATAGCTTCAGCGTTGATGATGGTGGTTAATGCTCATGATCTTCTTGCCCATCTTGCGGGTTTCGATTATCGGTTTCCATTGATGGAATTTGATGTCCAGCTTGCGCTCGTTGAGTTTGCAGTTCCTGTTGTTCAGATTTTGGGATCCCTTCTTTTGTTCTTGGGAATTCTCTTTCTCTTCATTCAGGTTCGTTCTATGTATAATTATTATATTGTTAAGTACTGGTGATTTTTCTGGAAATTAATGTCAAATTGATAACCCCACTTTTAATATCCACATTTGAAAAGAAATTAATTATAGGTAAATTCCTTAGTTTGGAAATTAATGTGCTGATTTGCTTTGACTATCTACAAATTACAGAAAGTGAAAGGATTTGGTTTCTTTAAATTGGAAAAGCATGCTTTGAACATGCTTATTGCTGGCCCTGTTTTATGGGTGCTTGGATCCATCCACAATTTATGTCAAATCTATGAGAGAGCTGATGGTCATGTCCAAATCTTGCAACAAAGTGTCCAACTCCCTTTCTTGATGGGGAGTTTGTTGTTAATGGTGGGCGCCATCATCAATTGCCGCGAGCAAGCCAGACAAATGCATCATGGATTAGACCTATTGGTAAATACTATAACATAAGAACTTAATCAAACCGAGTTTATAAGAGTTATAAGGATTAGAATTTTTTGATGCAGGGAAGTACTTGGGTGTGGTTGGGAATTGGTGCAAGCATATTGTTCTTCGTCGGAGGGATAACGAATGTGGTAAAAGTGTTCAAGATGCAACAACTTAATGTGCTGCGGCTTGAGAAACTGCGAGGAGGAGCACAAGAGAGACTAGTTCAAGAAAGAGAAGGCCATGTTCCACTCATTATAGAAGAACAGCAGAGGATAAAAAAGCCGGCTGCTCCAGTAGCAGCCGGGGAAACAGAACCAGCAATTGTAGGATCTCCAACACCTTACAAGGATGTGCTTGTTCGCAATTGAAGTTTCAATTCCATTGATTGGTAATTAATAATTAACTATTATCAGGTTGATTAATATTATTATTTCTTCCTTTGGGACTTCTTATAATTGCCTTTATGTTCATTTAATTAACTCTCAATACTCGACTGAGTTTCATGCTAGCTATCTCATGTAATGAATGGATACACTTGATTACTTAGATTTGTCAAGTTACAAGTATTGCAATATGTATGCTGTGATATGTAATCATCTTTAAAAAATTTACTTTTTTTTTTTTTTGCAATTTTATAGTATAAGGATGCTACTATTCTTTTATATAATCGGCACGTCGTCTTCAATGTCTTATAGTACATGACAGGTCGGATCCTCAGGATCTGTTTCTAAAGAGTAACAGCAATTTGCCTAGTATGAGGGAAAAACGACAAATCGTCCACAGATATAATATAATCGGCTAAAAGTTGAATTTAGTCTGTTTGGTACACTTTTTTTTAGTAGGGTTCTGAATAGGGGTGAGCACGGGTAGCGGATAGAATCGGAATCAGGGGTAAGAACCGGAACCTACCCAGAACCTGCACTGTGCGGGTAGGTTCCGGTTCCGGTTCCGGTTCTGCATGTGGAGGAACCAGAACCGGAACCGGAACCTGTAAAAAGGGTATCCTGTTTGGAACCTGTAGGGGGTACCCGGTTGGAACCTATTTTGAAACCTGTTTGGAACTTGTTTTGGAACCTATTTGTAACCTGCTTTGGAACCTGTTTTGGAACTTGTTTGGAACCTGTTTTGGAACCTGTTTTTAGAACCTGTTTAGAACATATTTTGGAACCTGGACTATAATGAAATATTTGTGAAATGTAAATAATGGGGGAGTTTCTATTATTTTACATATAAAAAAATTTAAAATAGAAAAAGTTAAATTTTTAGAATAACCTAATTAAATAAATATACNATGTAGACGAAGCCAAGAAGAAGAGAAGAAGATGTAGAGGTAGAGATGCGTTAATGGCGGGAGGAAGAAGAACGTTTTTGGGTTTATTTGCAACAATTTCGGGTTTGTGGAAATATAGTATAATTTTGAAAAGATTACATTAATCTTAATTAAGCACTAATTACCCTTAATCAATAATATGGCTATTTAGTTAACATTTTAAAACTTGATAGCCTTTTAATTAAATGTAAACTTCAAATGTCTTTTTAATAAACTCCCCCAAATTTAGCCGCCGGCCATCCCAAGTTTCGATTTAAGAAAATAGCCTTGAAATGTTTTTCATTTTTTTTTAATTTAGAGAAGATGATATGGCATAGTTATGATTAATTAAACACATAAAATAGGTTAAAATGAAAAGATTAAAACATATGTAGGCCAAATCATAAATAATGAAAGTTTTTAAAATTTGAAATTTCTCAAAACAAGCGCCACCTATTCACCTCGCTTAATCGAAATTCATTAGGGTAAAAAGCGATTTCTTGAACCAAAGGAAGACTACGATTTTTTCCGATCGAACCTGTAAATTTGCAACCTAAAATCAATTTCTTGAACCCTAAACCAAACACAATCACGATTTCCGGCGATATAGTCGCGATTTCCGATCTATTTCTTGAACCCTAAAATCGATTTCCTTAACCCTAAACGGAATCTGTGCAATTTTTGACGATACAGTCCACATTTCCGATCAAAATTACAAACTTTGACACCAAATTCAATCCAAAACCATGGCTAACACTCACAATAAGGAGGAAAACCCAACGCCACTTCGAATCCTAGATTTCGGTGGCGCAAGGAGTTCAATGGCTGCTCCGGTGGATCATCCGATCAGTGAAGGTGGTCCACACGTATAGGAGACATCGACGGCATAAGAACAGAGGAAAGAATCGGCAAACGGTTCTAAAGACGAGGAGTCCGGCGAGAATTTAGGCCAGGAGGAGTCGTCCGAGGATTCAGGCGACGAGAAGGAGGCCAGCGAAGAAAGGGTACGTTGTTTTGGGAATATTGCTTGTACTACCGCTTAAGCGATCATTTGTATCGCTTAAGCGATTAATCTGTTTTACTCATGATCGCACTCATGATCGCTTAAGCGATAGATTCAATTTACTCTTGGTCGCTTAAGCGATTTCAGATCGCTTAAGCGATCTTGTCGAGGCAGAATCACAGATATAAGATTGCTTAAGCGATCTTTTGTATCGCTTAAGAGATTCTTTCAGTTTACTCTTGGTCGCTTAAGTGATTTCAGATCGCTTAAGCGATCTTGCACGAGGCAGAGTCAAGATCTCTTAAGCGATCCGAAATCGCTTAAGCGACTACAGTGGTAATTTTTTGTTGCTGATATTTTGTTTATTAGTTGTTTTGGTTTATTTTTGTTGCTGACATTTTGTTTATATCGATTGTGCAGATTGTGCGGACCGTAAAGTGTAGAGACTACGAGTTGGAGCTTATAAGTGATAAGGTACCCTACTTCCCTACAAGGGTGACGGTGAGGTCGAGTTGGGATGTTTTTGACAAAATAAGGGACATTTTAGATGGAATGAGGCATGGTGCAAGAGATTTCCGTCGTACTTGTTTCGGTTAGTTTTTAAGAATCAGAACAAATTGGAAAAAGGCATTTTGGGGGCAGGGAGTGCATTAAATGTTGCTGCACTCAGTAAAATGCAATTAAAAAAAAGAAAATGTGGTTCGTGGTGGACAGAAAGCCACTACGGTTTGGGATGATGGAATATGGCTTGGTGACGGGCTTAAGATGCGGGGAAGTGCCAGATAAGGCAGAGGCAGACGCAATAAGGACGAGTCAGGGAGCCATAAGTTTTCGTAAGAAGGTTTTGCAGGGGGCAAAGTCTATTACAAGACACGGTTTAGAGGAGAGGCTAGAAATAGTTCGGTTTAATGATGGAGAGAAGATAAAAGTGTGCTTGCTATTATTTTTACATTCAATCTTATTGGCTGGTGACTCAACAAAAGTTGTTAGAAGGATTGGTTGTTATTTGCAAGCGACTTAGAGTTCTTTAATTTTTATCCGTGAGGACGGATATGATTTGAGCGAGCCATCAACAGCCTGAAAAAACCAGACATGGCGTTAAAGCAGGCCCAATGGGTCAAGAAGGAAAAATCAAGCACGTACAATTTGTTTGGCTTCCCGTGGGCAATGCAGGTAAATATTAATAGCCTTTTGTTATATTTTTTATAATATATGTGTTTGAATTATGATATGGACTATTTTTTTACAATGTAGGCTTGGATGTACGAGGTCATCCCTGTCTTCGCTAAGGCCGGAAGGAGGAGCAACAGTTTGGATGTGCAACAACAATTTCCTAGGATGTTGCGGTGGCATGTCGAGAGGTGTACCCATTGGGACTACGACCAAATAGACATTAAGATTGAAGCGGCTAGGGTAAGATTAAAGGATTAAGCTTTTGAATATACAGTTGCTTTAAAATGTTGCTTCAATCTGATTGATTTTGTTTCTTATTGCAGGGAGTCGTCCGTCCCTTTCTCACCGCTACTGGGGCTGAAGCGGAAGAGGACTATGTCACATCTTTCAAAGCATTGGAGGATGAAAGGGATGAACGGATAGACCGCTTGATGCGAAAACTAAAAGGGGTCACGCATGTGACTGTAGTTGCAGGGCCACTACTTGACAACGTGGTTGATGTCGATGATGATGAAGCTCCAATCGGCAGGAGGCCCGAGGATAAGGAGGAGAAAAGGGAGGAAGAGGTTCATATGCCTCAGCAAACTGGTACAACAAGTACCGCTTTGTCGAGACATCGACATCGGGAGAATGAGGTTGTTGACCTCATAAACGACCTATTTGAGAGTTTTACAACAGCCGTTTATGCAAGGTTCGACAAGATGGAAGAGTGCATGAAAATGGTGGAGTAGAAAGTGGATAAGCTGGCAGAGAAAGTTGGTACAGTGGAGGAGGAAGTTGGTACAATGGAAGAGGAAGTTGGTGGAGAATTAAAGGCGGTTGAAGTGCAAACTGGCTTGAAAAGAGAGAGCCGAAAGAGCAAGTTTGTGAAATTGCCTTACATGGTAGTGACACAGGTAAAGAAGAAGAAGAAGAAAATGAAGAAACAAATGGAGGAACAACCAGAAATGGAGGAGGTTGAGGAGGTTGGTGGTGGAAGTGGGGTAGTGATAATGGAGGAGGGGGAGGTGGGAGGCGAAGGAAGCGGGGATGTAAAAATGGAGGAAGGGGGAGGAAGTGGGCAAGTGAAATTGGACTCAAATGTCGATTTGTATAGGCCAATAGAGGAAAAGAAAAAACTCTTCTATGCCTATTACAATGGATCAGGAAGTAATGCCCATATAAAGTGTAAGATAGGGGATTATCCCCAGAAATGGTTTGAGAAGTTGTTGATGATGGGCACGTGGCTTGAGGACTCGGTGAGTTATTTTCGCTTAATTTTCCTTATTTTTGCCTATGTTTTCCATACTTATCTTGTTGTTTTTATTTGATGCAGCACATTCGATGAGATATTGGCACTGATGAGGCTACAACAAACTACTGATGGTGATCTATTGTATCCCTACTGTGCCATCACCGATGTGGCGTTTGGCCAAACACTTGTTTCGGCATATCGCACTTTAATTAAAAATGTCGTTGCTAGTGGTACAGCAAAAGGACCGAAGCGAAAAAGATTGGCCCCACAACAGTTGGATTGCATCCCTGATGATTTTCATTTTGATGACAGGCTTATGCAGTATATACAGGGGGATCGACCCAAATATGGCCACGGTTGGGCCTTTGTTAAAAGAGTGTACTACATCATCCTCGTCAAACAGATGCACTGGATAGCAGTCATTGCGCATCTAGAGGAAGGGTTGTTGAAGATCCTTGACTGCAACCCAACTATTTGTCGAGACAAGCAGTTGGAAGTCGAGTTGGAGCCACTGTCCAGGTTGTTCCCGCGGCTATTGCGTGACAGCGGGATCTTTGGGCACTTGGGTGATCAAGTACTAACCGAAAAGTGGCCAATTAAGCGCTCTACCGGCCCAATAAATAAGTCAAGGTAAATTTTGTATAAAACT